GGCGGGAGTGCCGCCGCGCTTCCCAAGCGGTGCACTGTAGCAGTGCGCCACCGGGCCGGCCCCGGTAATGTAGAGATTATTAGGAACTCTTGTGAAAACGTTCAGTGGAGTGTAAGGGTAGAGAAGCCAGAGTGCAAAGAAGCTAAAGAAGTGGGAGATGGTGAATCCAGTTGACCTTTTCAAGATGTTTATCTGGGAAGGGTAGAAGAAAGGCATTGTTATTTGAAGTTTCTGGCTAGCTAATATTGAAAAATGATATTCCACGAGTAAGTCTATGGAGAGTTACAGATCTACCTCTGGTGAAGCATCCTATATTTTTGACCAGTCAAGTCTTTTTTGGTTGGGTTTCCGAGAGTGGCTCTTATTTCTTTCTTGCAGCTTAAGTGTTGTATAGACACCCCCATTTGTGGTTTAGTATTCCAAGAAATGAAATGAAATGAAGTCCAAAGAAGTTAACAAAATAGACCTCAGGAAGAACTGAGTTATACAGAAATGTACAGGATTCACAGTCATTTGTGAGCAATAATTTTTCTCTAAAAGAAAAAGTATAGTTTATTGAGATTTCCTGGGCTTAGCCAATGATGATTTTAGATTTGCTCACAACCACACACATTGTGGCCATGAGAAGAATCATGGAAGCATATTTTTTCTGTTGCTGATGTTCTCTACAGCAGTATTCTGTATATATTCTAGAATCCGTGGCACTTAACTGGTCTGTGACAGTAACTCCCATCCGCTTTGAGAAAAGTTAGTCTTGCTTTTCTGGGGTATGGAAGTAGGATAGCTCTTTGAATGAAATAAAAAGCAAATTCTGTAATTTTTTAAATAGTTTTCTTTTGTTGTCTGCTCTTTAATAATTATTTTAAAGTACACAACATTTAATTTTCAGTTCAGTTCCTTAATTTTTTAAAAATTTAAATTGACTGCTTTCTGTTACCTTCCAAAATCATGCTGGAAACAATTGATGTTTGAGAAATCATGAAGTTTCACGTTCTATTCTCAAGTCTTCTAAGTTCACTGTCCACATAGAATTAGATCACCGGAAGAAAGTAGCTTCTGCAAACTCTTAACTTCCTAGTATTATGATATTGGCCTTTCAGATATAAGAAATTCTTCTTTGAATACAATAATTTTATGTTCTGCAAAACCATAGTAAAGACTATTTGTTATGTTAACTGGTATTTCCTAGTCTGCTGTACACTTGTACAAGGTAGGCATTAATAAAATGTAATTGAATTAGAGTTGGGGTCAGAAAAAGACAGGACTCTGCATCTGCAGCTGAACTTGGATACTTTTCCCCCCCAGAACTGTGAACTCACCTTTCACTCTGCTTTTCAAGAAGCTCCTAATTTAGGAGTTAGTGAAA